GAGGCCTTACGAAATTAATACTTCCCAGGTGATACTGAATATGCTTCTTCGGAGACTTTCAAAGACTTGCACCTGCAATTTTTATGGCTGCATTACTCTGGTGGCTCAGTAAGTGACACTGGCACTCTGGCTGATCTAAGCATCCCCAATCTTTCTTTCTGTCTGTCTTCCACCAAAATCTCTACGACATTAATTTCTGTGCTATTTAATATATTTCCATTTCTTTAAAGTCAATTATTCAGTCATCTAGTTCTGTGTCCTAATCCCCAGTCTCAAAGATGACACTTAGGTTACTTCACTGCTAAATTTTGTAGTCTCAGCTCTACTGCTAATATTCTGAACAATCCCAGGACTAATCCTTGAGGAACATCTTTACTCTGTTTTTTACTGACTCAGAGAATGAATCAAGGGAGGTGATTTGGCCCCTCTGCCCTGCTCTGGGGAGACCCCCCGGCAGTGCTGCCTCCAGCTCTGGGGGCCCAGCACAGCAAGGACATGGAGCTGTTGGAGCAAGTCCAGAGGAGGCACCAAGATGATCAGAGGGATGGAGCAGCTCTGCTGTGAGGAAAGGCTGAGAGAGCTGGGATTGTTCAGCCTGGAGAAGAGAAGCTTTGGGGTGACCTAATGGTGGCCTTCCAGGACCTGAAGGGAGACCACAAGCAAGATGGAAAGAGACTATTTCCAAGGGCCTGGAGTGACAGGACAAGGGGCAATGGCTTCAAACTGATAGAGAGTAGGCTTAGATTGGATAGTAGGGAGAAATTCTTCCCTGTGAGGGTGGTGAGGCCCTGGCACAGGTTGCCCAGAGAAGCTGGAAGTGTTCAAGGCCAGGTTGGATGGGGCTCTGAGCAATCTGATCTGGTGGAAGGTGTCCCTGCCCACGGAACTAGATGATCTTTAAAGTCCCTTCCATCCCTAATCATTCTGTGATTCTATGCCTCTATTTTTTTCTATTAACCCTGACCTCTCCCATCCCATGTAGCATTTTTCTGTACAGCATATGAAGCTTGCTGTCCAATTTCAGGGGAGGCACGACCAAGATCCAAAGAGTTAAGAGCAGGAAAGATATAGCCCAATTTGTTTAAACTTAGTATTCCCTCAAAACAGAGACTCTGAAACCAGCAGATGTACTGCCAACCTACCACGACTGCAGCAATTTTCACGTAGCTCTAGCAGCAAAAACCTGTAGGAGGGGTAGAGTTTGTCTCCACATCTACCTCTGCCACCCTTCTGTTGTTATATTATTTAAGACTTGCAATCACATTTCTGCGGCTTAAAACACTCTGTATCCACACAGAAAACCTCCAAGCAAGAGGAAGCCAACGCGAGCTGGAACGGGAGAACAGTCGAGAATTCAGGACCAGCACTCTGCATGAGGAACCTGATGACCACACAAGCCTCTCACTAGCCTGGATTCTGCTCCAGCCCCGGCACGTGAGTGTGATGTCAAGGATACAAAAGAGCTGAGCATGGCACAGCGCGCAGGCACTTGCCTCCACCTTATGGTGTGACAACGGCACACCCTCCTGAGGGCTCCATAGCAGACACGCAGACAAAAGGACTGTGGTCCAGTTCTGCTTTCAACAGGGATAAATTTGGAGTCACTTCACTGACGTCAGTGGAGTTATTCCAGAATTGCACCCGTGTAAAAGAGGGCAGCATCTGCTTTCTGAAAATGGATGCCATCAAGCTAATTGAAAACAACAGATGCATCAAGGAGCAGCAAGAAGAGAGGGTAATGCTCCAGTTTTCTTGTAAAATACCACTTAATTTCCCTCCAAAGAATGTAAGAGTATTCACCAACATATACTGGAGCATACACCAATATGTAGTCTAAAAACTAAACGTTTTGTTGGTGTAAAATTGTATACAACCTTTCAGGTGAATGGAATGTGTATCTGCAATACCTGAAGAGATTTACTCTCGTCATCTGCACTTACAGTCCTCTTCTTTGGGCCTGATTCTTCTCTCACACTTAAATTAGGAGTCATACCACTCATATTCTTAAGAAAGTATTTATCTAACCTTAAGTAGAGAGCAGAATTGAGACCTCTGTTTTCTTTAAACAAACAACAGCTGAATTTGGTAATTAAATGGATAAATTTGTGATTTACAACATTTTTTGACTAAAAGCCTTCCAAAACTTTGTACCACTGAATAAATATCTTAGTGAAAATAAAGCCAAAGAAGGACTTACTGAATCTTCAAGGATAAGACAAAAGTTTCCCATAGATCTTGTCTCTAATAAATAGTCAACACAGCTTCAGTATTTGGGGTGACCATGGAAGTTGATGAGCACTTTCTCTTCTGTAAATCCTGTCTTTCTTTTCACTAAGAAGTACTTGCACATTGCTTCAGCCTCTCTTATTAATTTGCACTACAGACAACATGGATATTCCCAATGGTGAGAGTTTATCAGTGAACGTTTATGCTTTGGCAATGTAAAACCCACACTGATCACAGGCATGTGTTTCCCACAGTGTAAAACCATGCTATGCTATGCAAGCTCTTGTATCAGCCAACAAGCCCCAGACAGACTTCCCTGGATCACAGGAAAACCCATGGAAAGCATGTGGAATTAACAGGTACTAACAGCATAAGCTACACTTGAAAACAACTAGTGCAGTCTCTGTCTGCTTTCCCAAAAAAACCATTTTTCTGGGTTTATCTCCCTGGCTAGGCTCGTGTGTTACTTAGGACCTGACCCTCCAAAAGAAGAGCTCCTTCTTGAAGCTAGCAGGCAATTTCCTCACCAACTGTCTTTGGTGGCAGCTAAGGACATTCAGCGTTCACAGGTTCCTTTCATCAGGGGATTAAGTCTTTTCATCCTGCAAACACCTGCTCCCCTCCTTCTGTGTAAAGGAGGTGACTGCAATTCAGGCATTAGACTGTGAACCTGCTGATAACATGGCTACAAATGTCTTCAGAATAGGATCTGTCTCTAGTGCAACTTCAAAGAGCAAGATGAAGAGCTCAAGGCTGTGCTTTCATTTACAGCAACGTAAATAGTGCTATCTTGTGCTTACAGGGCTGCCACTGAGGGCAGGATCTTCTTTAGTCTTAAACTTCCCTGTGGATTTCTCCACATACTACCACCATTAAGAAATAAATAGACAAAATGCTGCTGCTCTTATTTCTGTCAATATAAACTTTAAAGAGAAGCTTAACTTTGCTGAGCTCAGTAGACTTACTTGGACTCAAGTCAGATGAGCACTTTTGGGAAAGCTGTGGTTAGCTCCTGCTGGAATCTGCAGATCCTTCCCTGGTGTAAACAGGACCTCAAGAAAAGAACAAACAAAAATAAGCAGTTTAACAAACAGTACGTAAGCTTTGACTTGATGCAGAAGATTGAAGTTGGAGCCCGATATAATCCAAGGTAGTTGTACTAAAAGGAGTTTTGCCAGCTTGAATCAGCAGATGGTGAGGATCTGGCTCATACTATATTTTTGTAGTTTATAATTATCTTTCTTTCTTCACCTAGAACCAGATTCTCCCTTTAGGCCGCAAATCTTAATTATAAAATCCTTCCTCATTAGTTTCAAGAAATTCTTAGTCATTAATTTCATAGAACAAAAAGAAATCTTACCTATTTTAGCTACAGCTGCAGATGCTGGAGCTGTTTATTCCTCTGCTTTCCGGGTTGATGCTGTTCTTTCCATCACTGTACAGAAGACACTTCAGTCCTTACCCTCTCTCTTACTGCCCCGAATTTCCTTTATACTCACTCTTCTTTATCTCCATAGGGATCTCTGTACACTGAACGAGAGGGCCAAGGAGAGAACACCAAGTCCAGTCACCTTCACCCCCATGGCTGCTGTAGCAGTGAGTTTTTATCCATGAAAGAAAAGGGCCAAACAGAAAATTGCTCAGAAATCCTGAATTCCAACATTTTCCACACAGGAGCAGAATAGGAATTTCATCTTGGAAGGAAGTGCAGGAATCTACTGGTAATGCAGACCTTGAAATATCACAAAACAGGTCTTCATGCCTTTCACGCTTACGGTCCTTTAAGTGGATTAAAAAATGGTGTCCTCAGTAGAATTCTTTTTCTTCCTTCCCCACCTCCAAGGAGATGATTTCTGCCCTGTCCTGCTTTGGTGCAAAACATCCTGTGGGAAAAATCTCTGGGGAGCTGATTGTCACAAACCAGCCAAGGGATCAGGAAGGAACAATAGTCTTTTCCACTGCAAAACTATTTCCTAGTGCGACTGTTGAAAGAGGAATTTCTGGTCTTTTCACGTGATGCTTTAGCTTGTGTTCCCTGTCACTGGGCACCCAGATGACTCTACATCCACAGGCCAGTTGTCCCTCAGCTCCTTGACTGAGTGCTCAGATTGTCCCTTCACACACTCTCCACCCCCCCTGTGTACAAGTTAAATCTCTTCCCATCTCCAGGTTTGCACTCCCTTCTTTCAAAAGCTGGTAACTGTCCTTCTGAAGTTGGACAGGACAAGTTGTACATGATACAAGGTGATGGGATCATCTTCAGGAAGCAAGGAAAACGTCTGTGAAGATGAGGTGCTAATATCTGAAAACAAAATATCCAACGAGGGCTTTTGCTTGTAGCCACAGTCACAGCGTAGAGAGAAACAGTCCGGGAGGTTGTTATGGAAACAACTCCCTGGAGGTGCCTACTTGGCTTCACAAGGACGTGCTCTACCTTCAGAAGGAAATAGCTTCAGAAGGAACAAGACAGATTTGCATTTTGAACATTCAGGGGTGAGTGCTGTGGGCTGAGAACTTGAGGTAAAATTCTTGAAAGCATTTCTGTGATTTGGTGACAATGAGACCTCTGTAAAGTCGATGGCACAGGTGCCACTATGTCACTTCAGTCACAAGAAAACCCCCAAAAAACCTTAATAAAAATATCAAATTCCACAAGCTCTATAATATATGGGATTATTGATGACTCTGGGACTTCACTGCAGTTCAGGAGGTGTTTAGAGAAGGATTTACATGCCCAAATGACTCCCAAGGTTACAATTTCCACACTTCTGTTAGCTTTTTGCATTTCTCTTCGCTCTAACACAGAAAATCCAGGGAACAAACACCACTCCTGCTTTGCACATTTTTACATGCACTTTCTTTTGAAAAATTAAAAATGTGGATGACAAAATCTGCACAAAGCTGCCTGTTTACAACAGAATTCCTTCGCACCTTGGGTATGCATGCCCCTCGTCTGTATGAAGACTTTTAAAACCCACTAGAAAGTCACTGCTGAATTTCACCAGAGAACAGGAAATCTCTTTTTTTGCCGGAGTCTCCATGCCCAGAGGTCTGTCATGTTGGTCAGGAGAACAACCTGTTCTGAGCAGGGAGGGCTCTGGTAAGGGCAACGGGGCCAGGCTGAAGGGAAGAAACGAGCACAGGAATTTTTTGACACAGGCTCAGCGTGCGTCTCATGACTCCTCCCGAACTTATGTTTTAACCTGAGTTTTTTATATCTTACTTTGGGGAAACTTCTATCAGCTGATACACTCAGGCATAAAATATCCCCAAACATGGGCATTCTGCTAAGATAGGGCAGGAGCCTTGAAACATTCCTCTTAAACAGCAGGTTCCTTGGCTGGTTTCCAGCAACATGAAATTCGAAGGGAAGTCCCTCTCTTGCCCTCTCAGTAAAGATCTCATTATAGTGACCCTGAAACACAACTAACAACAACACCAGCTTTTTACTCAATAAACTCAATGACCTGGACTTGGGTCCTTTTAGACAAAATCAACAGAGATGCCACCATGCTGATCTCCTTCCTCAGTCCCACTTATTCACCAGGACAACTTACCCACCAGCTGATTACACTCTTCAAGGGATGCAGAATGGCTCCCAAGGCCCAGAGCTCCACAAACCTTTGCCTCAATCCCAAGGAAGCAAAGAGAAATTATACACTATTCAGGCACACTCCTCTGAGCTACGAGCCCTCACCACACCACGCCTGTATCTCCCAGACTGACACAAGTGGCATTTTCCTCCTGATTTCAGAGAGAGAGAACAGAGATTTTAATGCAATGGTTGTGTGCTGACCCCACGGGAGATCCCCGCATGCTAAAAACCTTGGAGAGGATAACAGGGCTCTGGAGAAATGGAGCAGAGTCAGGATTTGCACAAACAACTTCTACCATATGACCAGGGCCCAGATGAGGAGAGGCCACAGTAAAAGCACTCTAGGCATGGAGCCATATCTCAAGATGACTGCAAACAGGCAGGGTAATGAAGATGCAAACAGATCCCTTCTCACAGCCAGTTCTAACTATATTAAAGTATATGGATGGAGCTCTGAGCAACCTGATCTAGTGGAAGGTGTCCCTGTCCACAGCAGAAGGGTTGGAACCAGATGATCTTTTAGGTCCCTCCCAACCCAGGCCATTCTACGATTCCATGATATGCCTTTAGCATTCTCAGTCTTATGGCTGAAAAGCATTATATATACATAAAACGCATTCTATGTATTTTGCACCTGGATATTATGTCTGGTTTATGTATTCCATGCGTCACATGCAATATGGAGTACATTCTAATATGCATATCATACAAGATCATGCAAGGCATTAACGGCTGCCTTTGCTTTCATACACATGCAGACATGTGAATGCAAAATATACACTTAGATTTTAAACAAGAAAGGCTTTTCCTTGCAGAAAAATTTGCCAGTAGAATCTGAAAGCATCCATTCCCCCTTTTCACCTGCTGGCAGCAGCTGAAACATTTTAAACTTCGATGTAAGGCAGAGCTGACTGAAACTAATTCAATGATCTCAGAAGCAAAATGTGCATCTTAAGACACAAATCTTGGCAAACCCGGCACTGCAGGCCAAGCTATGCATATCTTGCATTGCTGGCATATACTGCTCTCATAAAACCCAGTGCAAAAAACACTGCTGTCCCTTCTATCCATGGAACACCAAACACTGGCTGGATCAGTCATACAGCAAAAGCATCCCTTCAAGGCTAGTTGCTTCTCCCCTCATTTGAAACCGTTGGGTTTGTGCAGGTAGCTTAGGGAAGTTTGTAACCACAGTCTCAAATGTTAACGCCCTTACCCTGAAGCAATTTATGCCTGTGAGTCGTTAAACCTTTGAGATCCTCCCACAGCACAGGTGCAGCTGCCTGTGGTCAGAATTTTTCAGCCTTGCCAACAAAATACTACCATGCAAACTTCCCTCAGCTATACGAATGCTCAATGAAAAAAAGCAGTGGAGTCAACTGCTCTCACATGCCCAAATACAGAGCTGGGTATCTGAGGCACAAAGCACATCTTACTAAACGCTATTGTGTGGAGATAACAAATGAATTTACTCAAATGCGCCTTGCATCAGAAGGCACTTACCACTATGAAGATTAAGTTGGTACTATAAAGGCCAATTAACATCAGGGCACTGGCATAAATAAGGCTGAGATAAGCTCAAAATACAGAGAATCATCACCAGTACTGTTGACTGCTACAAGCCTGTTTTTGATACATGGTATATACGGTGACGAGCAGCAAAAGAGCCTTCAGATCTATGTACCTTTTTTTTTCTCTTGAAACACAAACCAAAAAGAGGATCTTTAGCATGCCAAGGGTTGCAAAGAAGGCAGGCATCTGCTTGCTGACTCTCCCCTACAGCTGCAGAGCTCGCTGTGCTCCTGGCTGCAGCGTTTCCATTATTCAAAGGCAATGGCATGGCAGGCGTGACCGATCCCACAGCCAAGGGCACCGCGCCGGCACAGGAACCAAGGGCACAGCTTGAGCCAGATGTTTGCGGCCCCTTTAACTGTTCACTCTGCTGAATCCTTCAGCCGAAGTAGTGGCAAGGGCTTCTCTGCCAGTGGAGTAACAATGCTTGGTTTCAGAGCAAATGTTGGGTTAAAAGCAGTCTTCAAAAGCAGAGAAAGAAATTCACAGGGGAGTGGGGATGACAGCTAGCACTCCACGGAATAAAGCAAGAACATTTCTGGCCGCACACAGTAATGAGAAACAGCAAATCAGGACAGAAGAGCCCATTATCACAATCATTCTGTTTACGGTATCACAATTCACAGTCTGGCATGTAAATGCTGAATAGATCCAGCTGCTTGTAGGAAGGCTGCTGTACAGCAGCTCGCAGCTCCATGTCTGGACCCAGGAGAACGTAACTGATCACACCTCTGTCAGCATCTTCTTCTCTTTAAAACCCTGGTTACTGGGAGGAATGAAGTTGGAGTATTTCATGGACTCCAGGTCTTCTGCTTCCAGGAATTCAGATTTGCTGAGAGACTGGTTACTGTCCCCCTTCTTAGGCTCAAAGAAGGGTGACTGTTGCTGGCCACAGGTGACGTGGGTGTACTGGCACTGCTCCTCATGATCAGTCTCTCGGTGGTAGAAGTAGTTGAAGTTGGACACAATGACAGGAACGGGGAGGGCGATGGTGAGCACACCTGCAATGGCACACAAGGAGCCCACAATCTTGCCACCAATGGTCATGGGATACATGTCCCCGTAGCCCACGGTGGTCATGGACACCACTGCCCACCAAAAAGCATCAGGGATGCTGGTGAACAGGGAGTCAGGGTCATCAGTCTCTGCAAAGTAGACAGCGCTGGAGAAGAGGATCACCCCGATGAAGAGGAAGAAGATGAGGAGGCCCAGCTCCCTCATGCTGGCCTGGAGAGTCTTCCCTAAGATCTGAAGCCCCTTGGAGTGCCTGGAGAGCTTGAAGATCCTGAAGACTCTGACCAGACGGATGACCCTGAGGATGGCCAGGGACATGGCTTGCTGCTGGCCCCCGTTGTTGCTGCTGCCCCCAGATTGTTGTTTCTGCTGCTGCTGCTGGGCCAGCTCAGTGCCCAGGGTGATGAAGTAGGGGATGATGGCCACGATGTCGATGATGTTCATGATGTTGCGGGAGAACTCGGGCTTGCTGGGGCAGGCGAAGAAGCGCACGAGGAGCTCGAAGGAGAACCAGATGATGCACAGGGTCTCGATGAGGAAGAAGGGGTCCGTGAAGAAGGGGCCGGCGCCGGCGGCAGGGCGCAGGGGCGGCGGGGTCCCGCTCGGGGCCGGCGGCGGCGGCAGCAGCAGCGCCTCGTCGCCGAGCGGTGCTGCCTCCCCGAAGCCAGGCTGGGTGCCCTTGGGCTCCTGGCGGAACTCCGGCAGGGTCTCTAGGCAGAAGATGACGATGGAGATGAGGATGACCAGCACGGAGACGATGGCGATGGCGCGGGCCGGCCCAGAGCTCTCGGGGTACTCAAAGAGCAGCCAGACCTGACGCTGGAAGTGGTGCTGGGGCAGGGGCTTCTCCTCCTCTTGGATGAAACCCTCGTCCTCCCGGAAGGTTTCGATGGCCTCCTGGCCCAGCTGGTAGAAGCGGATCTCCTCCAGGAAGATGTCGAGAGGCACATGGACCGGCCGGCGGAGCCGCCCCCCGGACTGGTAATAGTAGAGGATGGCGTCGAAGCTGGGCCGGTTGCGGTCGAAGAAGTACTCGTTGCGGAGCGGGTCGAAGTAGCGCACCCGGCGGCTGGGGTCGCCCAGCAGCGTGTCGGGGAAGATGGAGAGGGTCCGCAGCTGCGTCTCGAACCGCAGCCCGGAGATGTTGATCACCAGCCGCTCGCTGCTGCAGCAGCTGCCGCCGCCGGCGCTCCGCTCCTCGCCCGGCGCCTCTGCCTCCGCCTCGCCCGCCCGCGGGGCCGCCAGCGCCAGCGGCTCCTCCGCCCGCATCCCGCCCGGTCCGCTCCCTCCGCCTCGCCCCGCTCGCCTTCAGCGCCCGCCGCCCGCCGCCATCCGCCTGTTGCGCCTCGGGGCGGCCGCAGCTCCCGGAGCGGCTCCTCCCGCGGAGCCGGGGGGGACGGCGGGGCTGCGCGGCTCTGCACACACACACACGCACCGGGGGGACGGGGAGGGGCACGAGCACACGGCGTGACACGGAGGGGCACACGCAGACACACACACGGGCACACGCAGGGACGCGGAGACACACGGACACGGAGACACACAGACACGCAGACACGCAGACACGGCGCCCGCGCGGGCGCGCTCAGGGACGGAGCGATGCGCGCACCCAGCACGGCGAGACACACGCGCGAACCCGCGGGCGGGGGATGCTCGGCCCCACCTCTCCCCGGCAGCAGCCGGATTTTGGGGGGAGACCCCCGCGGGGACCGCGCTGCCGGGCGCAGCTCTGCTGTCAGCCGCCTCTCAACAGCTCGTCCGAGGGGCGGCACCGCCCCCGCCCTTCTTCCCCCCACCTCTCCACCACGGAAACCTGCCCCTCCAGCCAAACCCCCGATGGGGGCTGTCCGACAGCGCTCAGGTCTCGGCCGTGGGACCCGGCGGACCTCGGTGCTGTTCCCGTCCCTGCCGCAGGCTGGAGTTGACCTTGAGCCAGGCGCTCCATGCCTGTGGCTCGCGGACCTCCATTTATAAATGTCATTGCCATGATGCAAGCGCGGCGGTGGCACCGGACCATCCGCAGATGGAGACAACCTGTCACGGCAAACAGTGCAACTGGGGGAAAGATACGGGTAAATGCAGTTTCCTTCCTCTTATTTGCAGGGGATAGAGTTTACCCCTTCTCCCAGGTACCAAACAGGTGAGCTTGCTCTTTTTTTTTTTTTTTTTTACCACCACCCAGTCAGCACTAAGTCTCCCCGAGAGCCAAATCTGCATTTCAGAGGCAGACTACCAGCTCTTTTGGCTTTAGAAACCTGTGGCTTGCTCCATCCATGTCACACTTAGCTTCTGAAAGCACAGGGAAACTCACGACCGTGTACTTTCTACTCAAATAACTCGAAAATGGGGCTAACAGGAGAGTCTGCTTCCATCCTTCCCAGGGCAAGTGTCTGTCTTTCACTTGAAAGCCCTTTGTCAGTGCTAAATATTATTAACCAGGCTTTTATAATCATAGTATCTGATGCCTTTGCTGGCTGCAAGCCATGTCCTTAGCCTACACTATCTCATAGCAGCACATATCTAGAGAAAAACATTCCCCTCTTTACCCCTCCTCCCAGTTGCTCCAAACTAGCTGGCACTACCCAGTTCAGGCTCTGGACATTTTGACCAGCTGACTGTGGCTGCCTTGTTTGGCTCTGTCCTCAGCAAGGAGGTGAATATGATTTAACGTCACTTAATCCTTTTTCATTTCTCACTCATTAGCATTGAAGATGGCTGTTGTAAAAGGAAGCATATTTTCTCCTTTATGTGAAGATGGCTGTCTCACAAGGAAGCATATTTTTGTTTCGTATTATACATAATTGAGGTAAGGAAAAACAATTGCCCAGAGAATACACCTTTTCTTTAAAAAAAAAAAAATCATGAATCGATGTTTACCTTTGTAATAGTAAAATGCTTCTTGCTGAAATTTCTTTTTCAATTATTAGAATGAATTATTCATCCCTGGGATTATTTGAATCATAATTATGATTTATTCATTTTCATGGTTAACTATTGAGAAATCCTTTAAAAAGAGCTTTTGAGAGGGATGGATGGAAAAGTTCCCAAGGTTTATAAGAGGATACAGGGCATGTCTACATTGCTGGGACTGACCTCACCCTGTGCTGGGTTTAAACGAGCGAGCTCCAAGCAGCATAGCAGGAACAACGTTCCACCGCGGTTTGCAGGATGATTTTGCAGCCCCTAGAGTCATTTTTGCTGCCACAGCTCTGGTCTTCACGTTACCTGAGCGAGCAGTGTTACAGAATTCTGTGATTTTATGAAAGACAGCTGAGGTGCAGTCCCATCCAGCAATCCCTTCCCACCACAGCTGACCTCTGAGCAGGCACTCAGGCTGCTCCATGCTGCCTGTGCTCACTCCTGAAAGCCCCTCAGAGGCCACTGGCTTTCCCTCTGTGCACTTACCCTGCACTTTAGTCTCAGTATTAAATCCAGAAGCAATGTGTAACTCAACTCTTTTTAGAACGCAGGCTGTTCCCAAAGTGCTCTGCACCACAGTGCCTGTGCAGCCCCACCCTCACTTCTATATTAAGAGGAGATGCCAGCTGCCACCATTCAGCCTCCGTGCGGATCCTGCTGGACCAGCAGCTCCCAATGGCACACAGTTTGCAAAGCTAGAGAGGAACAGCAATGGGAGATGTGGAGATGTGAGGGAGGGGCAAGAGGTGAGCCCCAGAGCAGCACTCCCAAAAGCCACAGTGCTGTACCATAACAGAGAGATTTGGCTGATGGGTCTCCAGCCAACTCCACAAGGCTGCTGCTACCTGAAAACATGCCACTGCCTCACAGGGAAGCTTAGTGACAGCGTTCACATCTCCAAGCTCAGGTATGGCATGTCACTGTGGTTCGAGAGTTCACAATGACCACATCCTGCCCCAGTCTATATCAGTCACTAATGCCCAGGTGCACAAAAATCCCTTCACAAATACATGGGAAAAAATTGTTGCTGACTGGCACAGCAGGACACCTGATTCTGGGTTCCTATCCTACTCCGGAAGCTGGAGGGACATTGTCCTCCCAAGCTTGGTCCTTACAGCCACCTGTGAATCTGCAGCACAACAGTTCATTTTCAACAAGCCAAACCATTCCTTGGATGTCTTACACACCCCTGAAGGTGGCTCAGCACTTTGGGTAACGCTGCCACCCTTTGGGTTCTCTTTAGCTCCCTTTTGCAGGGTTTGATGTGCTCAGCACTGCGGCTGCCACAAAATCACGTCTGCGTAGGATTTTCTCAGGAAAGCCAAATTCAGGGACTCTCAGGATAAGCACTCCAAAACCAAGATACCCCAAGCTGGAATCTAGATTTGAGTCTTGCACATGCAGAACTTCTTACCCACTTCCTGCCTTTCTGTGTTTCCCAGTCACCCCATCTTCTCCTGAACTTTCCAATTCTCTCCTCCATGGTTTCTGGGCTACCCCTATCTTCTGCTTTCCATATTCAGGCACTTTTCCCAGATATGGAGCTTCTCCTCCCCTCTGAGTTCTTCACTTCCTTGAAGGCCAGTATCAAAGTACTTTTTATATCCCTTTTCCAAAAATCCTATCAGGATTGAAGCCTGCCCAGTAAGCACTGAAGGTGTTGCCTGACCATCTGGCTCATGGGGAGAAGGCACTGGGCAACCAGGAGAACAATTAGAGATGCTTTGCCTGTGTGACATCTTGTAATACTCATCCACATCAAATGAAGAAACAAGAAGAAAACCAAACAGCCCTCCACACCTGCAGTATATTTTGGTGGTCAAAACGCCTCTGAAATCATCCATCAACACCTTAACATGCAGCCTGAGAGGCACAATGAAACCTCCTACAGCCTGGAGGCCCTGAGCAGAATTCATCTCCCAGGAGCCAAAATATTCCACATACACAAAATAAATCCCCATGGTCTAAAAAGAGCAATAGACAGGGAAATTAAAAAAAAAAAATAAAATGTAATAGCTGGCAGAGCATCCCCATTTGAAATGGTAATTTACACTTATGCACAGTACCAATTACAGCCAGCTTCATACTTCTTCACTTACTCAGAGCCATAAATACATAAATGAGAGTGCTGAACAGGGGAGGGAAGCAGAATTAGCTGAAGCCCTGAAGCTGCTAGGCATACCACTCGGAAACAGGAGCTCTCCTGCTTTGTTTGGTTACCAGAAAACAGGAGCAAACCTGAAGGATGTTTGTTAACATCCTTCCAGGCATCAGAGCGGTCAACTGCTTATGGCATCAGATGTTAGTGGCCAGATTCTTTGGTGCCTTCAGCCTCTTTATTCTGCTCCAAGTGAAGGCGTGGGTCTGAAATGTTTCTCTCTCCATTTCGCAGAATGCCAGACGCACTTATGATAGGAAAGAGGAGTGATTTCACTGAATGTGGCTTTCACATTCCCATTACACTGTAAGAGGGAAGAAACTAGGCAATTTGTGCAGCTGCAGATCTCAAAGCCTCAGATGGCAAAAGGATGAGTAGTGATCAGGCATCTAATGACACCCATGTGTCCATCACGCTGCCATTCCCACCACTGCCCCAATGGACAGGGATAAAAATTCCCAGTTTTCCCAAGATAGAAGCAACCCTGATTGTTATTTGATAGGAAACCATTAATCTCAGTCATAAAATCATAGGATGGTTTGTGTTGAAAGGGACCTTAAAGCTCATCCAGTTCCAACCCCCTGCCATGGGCAGGGACACCTTCTCCTATCCCAGGCTGCTCAGAGCCCCATCCAACCTGGCCTTGGACACTGTCCCTATACTACACTTTGAACAGGATGTTCGTGCCACTGTTGACTGATGGAAGACTTGCTCTTCCATGATAAGTTGAAGATGACTGCATCACCCTGGAGTATTACTGGAACTCTCTTTTCTGTGCATCGAATAAGGACAGGTTCTTGTACTGGGGAAAGCACACCACGGTGTAACTAAAGATTTTGCCACAATCCTGGAAATAAAGGGAGAAGGGGAAGGGAAAGCAGGTTGTACTGGAAACTTTCATGCAAGTATTTCCTAGCTTTCAAGGACTTACCTCTGTAAAGTGCCTTCAACACTGTGTTTGTCTTGGGTTTTCAAAAAACTAAAATCGAAAAGAAGTTCCCCAAACTTCTATCTACAGTTGAGTAACTTTTAAGCCTTTTTTAAGCTTCTATTTAAGTTTCTTAAGTATTTTCCATGTAAATATGTTGGGGTTTTTTAAGATGCCTTTCATAGAGACATCCTGTAGATGTATGTCAGGGACTTCAGGTTTCGATTTATTACAATACGAAAAACCTCCTGGCCTCTCAGACAG